ATGTTTTAACCCGCTCCCTCCCCCATATGACTTTTTGTTTTACTTTTCAAAGCTGTACCTCCCAGATCTTTAGTTGTTTATGCATAGATGGTCTTTGGTTATAAAATATTTACTTTTCAGTCATTTTGAAGTGTAAGCCTTTGTCATACTTTCGGCTGTGGTGACTTCCTGTCAGTATGCTTTTGTTTCCCTTTGGTTAGCAAAACATATGAACGCTTGTTAAAAATCACACTTCTAATGGAATAGCAAGCAATCTAATCTATTCCTGAAATTGTTAAATTATATATAGTATTATCTGGAAATGTAAAAATAAACTTCTAGAAATGTGTTATTCAGTTCAAACAATAAACTGGCTGTACGCAGAATCTCATAGAAACAATTGTATGCACATGCAGGAATGGACGGATGTTGCAGCAGCAGAAGTTTGGGCCTGGACCAATCTGGGCCTGGACATTCCAGTCACATTTTTAAAATGATTTTAAATAATGAACTTGTTAAATGAGAGGGGGCAGAGCATGAAATAATATTTTAGTTTTGGAAACTATACAAAGATATATGTTCCAGTTCAGTAATTCAATACCTTTGATGAGCCGTTATTAATAGCACACTAAGGGTTAAATTTGAATATATTCCTAGTGAGATTGGTGCATTCTTAATTCAATAAAACTTAAAAAGTTTTACTACTACTAAATTATACATATGTTTGGTATAATTTATTGTAAAACATTAATGTTGTTGTGAAAATAGTTTCATACAAAATGGTGAAAATTTGCCAAAATCCTGGTATGTGTTGGACGCAATTGGGTCTAGTCAAAATGTCAGCTTAAATCAGCTTAAATCTTAGCCAGTACTTCATGTAGCATGAACACTACTATTGTCCAACATTATAATACCGTGAACAAACAAACATGCCATTCACTCCGAAGTGAGCTAGCTACACACATGGAGCTCTATGCTAGACCCCCCCCCATATAACTTACTGAACCACCCAACACTGTTTTGTACACATGCAATAGTCGTGGAATATTTTCACAGATATTTTTCATATCGCATTAAACAATTCATAATAGAGAAAATAGCAAAATGTAAAAATTAAGCAGAGCATCATGGATATGTTTTAGTTGATTGTGTCTAAGCCACTTTAAAATCACCTTCCATCGCCCCTTCTACATAAACTTCTACAGTGTATAACACACATTATGAAAAGTTTCTGGTTAAGTAATTTCAATGTAAAATGTTATAGTTTGGGTGTATTTGAAGACTGAACTTCAGTTTTTTGTCATTATTAAAATGGGAATTTTGTTTATGTTTGACCACACTCATAAAGACAGGCTTTTTTTCGGATTAATAACTCGCTGTTTATGTGACTTTTTGGAGTAACTCCCTGTGACTTTTTGGAGTAACTAGCTGTTTATGTGACTTTTTTTGGTGAAAAGTCAGTTGCTGAGTATTTTGGGGGTTGCAATCTTTTCGAAGGTTTGTTTGTTCAAGATATAATAATGCTGGACATTGCCTTTATAAGAACAGGATGTAGTACAGAGTCTCATTGTCAGTCCATTTTTATCTCAAGAATACTGTCACAGAATGTGCTTGTATTGATTGTCAAGTTTAGTATAGTTATGAATAAGAATAGTTATGAATATATGATATGAATTTTATTCAGTACAATGGCCTCAGGCCTATGGTACAATAAATAAAAAAAAATAGAAAAATACATACAGAGGGATTCCTTTAAATAATTGTTGAATCTACTAGTCACAACTGGTTAAGTAGATTGTCTCTGTGTTTAGAAGCGTAGAATACAAATTTTGAAGTACAGATAAGTTGTCAAACTGCATTAAATGAAGAAATTTTTCGTAAGTCCGATTTGACAGATACAATATAGGTAAATATTTTTTTCTAACATTTACATAACGTGGGCATACAAGGCAAAAATGGCATTCATCCTCAACCAACCCTAAATTACATAATTTACAGATTCTCATATTCCTCGGTATGTTTAGTTTACG